AAAAAATTATTAAGTTGCTAATCCTACGCTAATTTTGTCGGCTTAACGAATGAACGTTTGCGCTTATTGCGCTTACGTTGCAATTCCAAATGATGTAGCTGCGAGTGCACCTCTGCAAATATTTCTTTTTGTTCTTCTTCCGGAATTGTCGCACGATATTGTTTCATTATATCGTATTTTTCCCAAGGTTTTTCATGTGCCAGTGCCTGGCGACGTTGTTTGTCAGTTATATACTGATCAACGTTAGCAACGCCTTGTAGATTTTGTCGTTCCCATCGTTCTAACCATGGACGAGGGCGCAAGACTACTTTAATATCATTTACAGGCACCTCTGTATTCTCATCCAAATATTCTGCTTCCATATTCAAATCAACAGTGCTATATTCAGGTAATGCGTCTCGTAAATATAACAAATGATCGTCCAGACGCTTTTCTAGACGCAGTACCTCAATTTTATGTATAGTCGGGTCGTATAGTTCGTAGCGCACCTCAACGCCTTGATGATCAATAACATTACGCAATATAAAACGGGTACGGAGGCCGCAGCGATCGCGATGTATGCAAATGCCTTAAAAATAGATATACAATAAGTTTATTAGTTTATGGACCATAACTTTCACCCACTCACCAACAAAGCGACTGACTTTTCCAGCTGCGTGTGGATCGGAGCTTGTCACCGCTAATATGGAGCCAACATAAAACTCTGGGATGTCGATTTTCGAGCGACGGTCTAGCATGTCCATTCGTTCTAGTTTCTCACGTACCGGGTTACGCCATTCCACTTTTGGGTCGGGTAGAAACTCAGGGTATATAAACCTATAATTTGGTGGAATCACGGATTTGCGTCCCTCTGCACTGCCGGATGCATTTTGCTGGCCGTATTTTTGATGGGTTCCTGGAAAATCCTTTGGTTGCGGCTTTGTGGAAAATGTGACTGCATAACAGATGATGGATCGATTTTGTATACATATTTGTTGCAAGAATAAGTACTTTAACTTACCGATCCTCTTGAAGCTGCACCTTTTTATCCAACTAGGTATTAATAACCGGTTCGATACATTCATTTTAGTTAGTTTTAAAGAGATATATAATTTTCTTCGATGTATTAAATAAATTATAAAAATACAATCCCAATTAACCAAAAGACCAACAAGAAAACGTCAAACCGAGTCAGCTGTTTTCTGTTCCCTTTTCTAAGCCAGTGTTGTAACATGATGCAAGGTGTTATCGGTTTGCAACATGATCGGTTTGCAACTTCTCGCTCTAATTCCGCCATATTGACTGCCAAGAATGATCAGAATGAGAACAAGATTGCGCCGATCAGAGAGGATTTTTGAGAATAACTTTTGTGTGACGTCACGCTGGTGCAATTGTGAGAGAGAAATGCCAAAACGTTAGCAAGAATGGAAAGGAAAAAATGTTGCAAGGAAAATGTAAACAAGTTGCACAAGTGTGACGTCATGCAAACAACGATTCTGTCAAATTCGTTAAGAGAGGAATAGCGGTCCGAGATCGGGGCAACCTTTGCATTCTCTCAATCGTGATTGACTGCCTTAGATGAAACAGTGTTACTTCTTTAACAATTCTATGCCTAAAAATATAGTTGAATTTTTTTATTTTTTTTCTCAGTATGCAAATTTTGTTTTCTTAAAAAGGAATTTTATCTTATTTTATTTCATTTCCCATTCAAGCTGTCACCACTGATACCACCTTGTATTATTGCAACATGGTGTTGTAATATAGAATTGGACCGAATAGGCTTATACGATGTTTCCACGTTTCGTAATTCGCGGCGACAAAGGACGTTGAAGAAAGAGTGACGGTGATAGAAATAAAGAAATGAAATAACAAAAAAGATGGCCGCGACTCTTCGTTTATTTGCCATCGGCATTCAACATACGCATTACCATGATTCAATAATACAAGGTTCGATAAATTGACAGTTGTCTCTCTCGCACCGCTCCCTTAGCGGTGGCACCGTGTTGCTTCTTTGCAAATTTACATGGAAACAGTGTAGCTTTGGTGTGAAATAAAAGTATAAGCTTTTGTGCAATATGTTTATTTGTATATGCATATGAAGCATATTTAACTGATGAAAACATAAGCATTGGATGTTTATATCAATCTCATAGTAGCCTTATTTTAATTTTGAGTCATTTTGCAGTTTTTAAACAGCTAAATAGCATATAAATTACGTAATTCACGTAGATATATAAATATTACGTTCAACATTTCGTTTAAAATGCCAGATTTCCTGCAAATACTTTAGAATTTACAAAAGGAATTTCACTACTAATTGCCTACTTTGCGTACTTTTCTACTACCATTTTCGCAACAAGGGATTGCATTCTTGCCCTTTCTCTGTCCTTCGCAAATGCAACCTTTTGTAAGGGAGTGTCAAACCGCAGCTGTCAATAATTATCTAACCTTGTATTATTGAATCATGACGCATTACCTTCTTTGATAGAATCTGTAGCTCGTTTCTGTAACAATTCTCTACCAAGGCGAATTGAGATATGAATTCGCCGTCCTGTTCTCTACTGCTAATGAGAAGTAGAGAATGACGTATATTCTCTACCAGTAGAGAAATAATCGGTAGAGAAGAGTTACAGAAACGAGCTACTGATGTTCTCAACCAAGAATGATAGAATACAAGATTGCGCCGATCAGAGAGGATTTTTGAGAATAACTTTTGTGTGACGTCACACTGGTGCAATTGCGAGAGAGAAATGCCAAAACGTGAGCAAGAATGGAAGAAGAAGAAAAAATGTTGCAAGGAAAACGTAAACAAGTTGCACCAGTGTGACGTCATGCAAACAACGATTCTGTCAAATTCGTTAAGAGAGGAATAGCGGTCCGAGATCGGCGCAACCTTTGTATTCTCTCAATCGTGGTTCTCAACTTTCTTAACTTTAATTACATAAATGCCTGGCATCCCTTTTATTGCTCTTCACCCCTTTTCTTTCCGATATTTGGCAACGCGGTTATTTACGTGTGTGCCCACCATGCATAACATGAGAAATAGGCAACAATCATCAATGGCAACAAATTGGCGACTCACCGATTTATTGATGTGGTGACAAATCGGCAACATCACTTCGTTCATGCCAATTTTCAATAAATAAGTTCTCAAAAATTCCGAAACTTATGAATATGGCGTCAATAGTATTGTCCGAAAGCATCTAAATTATGCCCAAGGACAGGATTGAAAAAATAGGAAGCCCCATAGCGAGAAAAGGAATTAATTCCGATTGTAAGTTCCAATTTTGTATACAAAAAATAAATGAAGTATTAAAAAGAGAATAAAATTATTCCAAATATCGCCTGAAGCGATAAGAAAACGACTCATTCAGGTAATAAGAAAATGACTCGCCCAGGCGAGTTGCCTTCGGCGGACGTTTTAGAGCGACTGGTAATAGGAAATCGATTCGATGGCAATATTACCGGCAATAAATTTGTTTCCGAGGGCGAGACGTTTTCTTATTGCCGGCAACAAAAATTGTTTGGTGGGTGGGTTGGTGTAAGACGGACGCAAATGTGTGCGTGCACTTGAGGCCGATGGCTTTCACCTTTGTTTTGAATTTATTAGTTCTTAAATAAATTTAGAAATATATATAGTGCTTGATATTTATCGACCTTTTATATGTTAAACTATCAGTGATAATTGCAAAGTCCAATTCTATACAGTTGCGTAGTAACGTAGACTACATGATGCCCATTTACACGTATGAGCGTCCATGTGCAGTACGCTTGTGTGCGTTCATAAAATCTTGATGAAAGTATATAAAGACCGTCATTTCACCAACAGATTCGGCTTCGTGTTGTGTTGCGCGAAGCCTTTTCTGGTGCATATGGAGTCCATGTGGGTTGCTAGAAGAACGGAAAAGCCATGCGCTAGGACAATATGCATTCAAACCGATAAGCACTACCCCCACAGGGGGCAAAGGATACTTTTAAAATTCTTTGCTTTGTCACAGCAGGGCCGTATCTATAGTGCAAGACGGCAATTGGCTACGTGTTAGCGACCATTTGGCGTTTATGGGAGCGTGAGCAGGATAGATAGTTTATTGAGAAGGTGGAAACTGTCAAAACAGGCAATTTTTGCGACAGTAGTGGGAATTTCTTGACACGACTTTCGACGAATCATTCGAAAAGTGCGATTTTATGTGAACAGACGTTGGGAATATTTTGTGGGTTGATGTTGAGTTTATAATTAAAAATAAGTAATTCACTCAGTTAGAAGCAGTTGTACACCACTCCCGATTCGGCTATAATTATACGTACTACAAAAATAGTGAAATCGATTCCGCATATTGAATGTTTTTTTTTTTTTGGATCTTGTAACTTGTGCTCTCGTGACGTTCCGGTCGTAACCCCACCACAACCATCGTACATTTGTACGCACAGATCTGCCGTGCCAAGTAGCTCGCGAAACGTATTTGGTGGCTACGGTCGACGCCACTATCTGCACACTTGTACTTGCTACTTATCAAGTGGTTTGTCTTTTCAGCTGAAGCACCACTTTTATTGTTTTATTTCAACTTTGGGCTAGTCTTATTTTGTTAGTAAAGTCAGACAACAGCCTCAAACTGGCGGAGAGGAAGGTGGCACTGACACTGTGCCAGACGTCTGTGGTAAGTTTGCTTAATTTTGGGTTAACATCTACTGTTGCTTTTAAATACCGTGATGTTGTGATTGGGTCATTGCTGTTCAGCTTATACAAAATAGATACATGTGTATAGGGAAATTGCAGTGTGAGTTTATGCAGGTATTCTTCTCTTAAATAACAATAACCAATCTTTAAGTCATTCTCCGAATATTTTTTAATTGATTGTCAAGGGATTGTTATGATAAAATATTTACTTTCTTCGAACAGTAAAGGATATTTGTTGCAGGTACGTTTTTTAAGGCACCACTTAGGCAGTTGAGTCCATATGCTGCAAAAGACTGTTGAGCACAACCTCTTCGTCACCCCTCTGCATACCTTTATAGGACGATTTAATAACGACTGCATAAGTATACCCTGGCGTTTTTACGATTTTATTTATTTACATATACCAAATTTCTCTTATTTATTTTTTATAAAAATACATATGTACATACAGTTGTCCACAAAATAATAGGAGTGGGATATTTTAACCTGTTTTGGCTATTTGTCTTTAGTTTATTTAATGTTTCGTATTTTTTTGTAAAAGCCTAGCTGGTAATACAAAAAACACCATATAAATTTACATTTTCAAGTTTGTATATAATTATAAAAATTCTGCAAATTTTCAATAAAATTTCAAACTATTTAACCAGAATCTTTAGAAAATATGTTGGTATGCAGTTTTGTAGCCCATTCAATTCTAGTCTGAAGAAGTGCAATTTTCAAGCTGCTAAAAAATTCCGTTGATTTTTGAGAATTTTTTCGGTTGAAGGTGTTTCACGTTTTTTCCATACAAAGTATGTTCGACAATTTTCTTTTATATGGGGACATGCCAGCAAAAAAAATTGCCAAAAATCAACGGAATTTTTTAGCAGCTTGAAACTTGCACTTCTTCATGTCCCCATATAAAAGAAAATTGTCGAACATACTTTGTATGGAAAAAACGTGAAACACCTTCAACCGAAAAAATTCTCAAAAATCAACGGAATTTTTTAGCAGCTTGAAACTTGCACTTCTTCAGACTAAAATTGAATGGGCTATAAAACTGCATACCAGAATTCTCTCTGAAGATTCTGATTAAAAAGTTTGATATTTTGGTGAAAATTTACAGAATTTTAATAATTTTTGTACAAAGGTTGAAATCTGAATTTATTCGTTGTTTGTTGTATACCCAGCTTGACTTTTGTATAAAAATAATAAACATTAAATAAACAAAAGACAAATAGCAAAAACTGACCAAAATAACGCACTCCTATTATTTTGTGGACCACTGTAGGTATCGTCGTCTAAAGTACTACACCGCGTATCGTCTTTCTGCAAAACCGCGTAACTGTCATTTTTTGCCAAAAATTGGATTTGCTCACCGAAGCTCTTGGCTCAAGCCTTATCAATTCGTCCTCAAATATACTAGCCAGAAATGCGATTGCTTTATAAAAGAGAGAACCATTTTGATATATGAAAGTTTTTACTGTCTACAAAATAATTTATGCAATCTCACATACGCGGTTTTGCATTATCATGATACGTGGTTTTGTACTTCAAAC